TCAAATTTGGTGATAATCAGTTCAGATATAGCTTTAGCTCCCATTTATATGTTTCATCCGCTTTGATGTTAAAGTCCCTCAAATACGTAATATGCACTCCACAAGAATAACTTTTGGTACCAAATATCAGATACAAACCAGAAATACCTCCGTCAAATTTTATCAAGATCTGTTCAGATTTGGATATAGCTCCCATATATATCCTTAATCCGATTTCAGGTTTATTGTGCAAATAATGCCTAATATCAGCCCAAATGGACAGAATTTCGGCTCGTAGGTTTCCATTTTGTGAAAATCGGCTCCGATATATATTTTTATACCTCCACCATAGCATGGAGGGTATATTAAGTTTGCCATCCCGTTTGTAACACGTCGAAATATACATTTTAGACCCCACACAGTATATTCTTCATCAGCATAAAATTCTATGTCGTTTTAGCGATGTGCGTCCGTCTGTGGAAATCACTCGAGCTTCCGAACGAAATGAAGTAGGTGGATAAAATTTTACTCAAATGTGTAGTATGTCTGCAGGACTTTTGGTATTGAAAATGGGTCATGTAGGTCATTTGGAGTCGATCCAAGTATGTCCGCTCATCCGCCTGTCTGGCTGGAGTGCACGATACCTCTCGAAGGGAGTATCCGATTTGATCCAAACTTGGTATATCGTAATATTATTGTCAAACTTACATTGAGACCGGAGATGGGTAATTTTGGTCCACTCCTTCTGATACCTTCATGTAGGTCCACGTTTGGTATAGCCCCCATATAACGGTACCTCCCGATATTCGGTATTTTGGTAATTTATTTTATTTTATATTTGGTATTTTGATGATTTTGGCGGCATTATTCACCGGAATTTAATTTACTGCTTTAAGTTCGTAATGAATATTACAGCCTAAGACAGAAAATTGTCTGTGCAGGGCCATGTTTTCGCATAGACCCCATATAACGGTATCTCCCGATATGCGGTATTTTGATGATTTTAGCGACCTTAATCACCGAAATTTCGGATTAAATGTTTTAATAGGCACTACAGCCTGTGACAGAAAATTTTCTATGCAGGTCCAGGACTTCGTATAGCCCCGATATAACGATACCTTCCGATATTCGATATTTTGATGATTTTAGCGAATTTTTCGGATTTTATTTATTTTTTTTTTTTTTTGAAAATTGCTAAATTCGTTCCAAATGGTGGAAGGTATTCAAAGTTCGGCCGTGCTGAACTTAAAGCTTCTTTACTTGTTAATTAAGAGTTCTGCCGGTACGTCAAACACAAAGGATATCATACTTAGTACTTTCTAGTGTCATTCTATTACGAATTTCCCAAAACCCAGCCTTATCCGGCACCTTTGGATCAAGAGGAATCCTCAGCTAAAATTTCAAGATTCTAGCTTCCGCCTTTTCGTCTGGGCGTTAATGAATCATTAAGTCAGTCCGTCAATCATTCTACTCTTTTATTAATTTAGGTTGGTGGTAGGTACTTACTCTCTATGGCATGTCCATGTTAAAATAAGGGCCTTGGATATTGTTTTGTAAGTATTAACTAATTCCAAAATTCACTTAATAGCACCATTATTGGGTAAGGAGATTTTTGCTGGGACCATATACTTTATTTAACTCCAGCGAATTCTTGACTTTTAATCTTCCATCATTCCATTTCCAATTGGGTAGCTAGAATTTGTTTCGTATGGATTTAAATGTTGTTGCTGTTGTTGTCTATGAAACTAAATGTTGTCAACGTTCGTTTTGTTTTGTTTTTGGTTTATGTTTTTTGTTTCTTTGTATGCTCGTGTGTATTAAGTTTTGAGAAAATCGTAAAGTCACCATTGATTAATTTTGAATAAAACAAAATCTGGTTAATTGAGATACACAGACATAACACCCAAGTTCAATTATTAAATCTGTTAGTTTTTGTTCTTAAAATTATATTCGAACAATAAACATGAGTTCTTAAAAACTATAAAGTCTTTCCAAAATAACTTCTTCGAAAAGAATATAATAGAATAGCTGGAGAATGATTAGAAGGAATATGTCGGAATTATATACAGATTTCACTTTTTTGTTTCTCCTATCGCAAAATTGTACCGGTCAGCTAGTCATACATGTAGTCAAAATTATATAGAATTACCTGTGTTTTGAATACCCTTTAAATAACAAAAGCCTACAGCTGCCAACCACATTGTAAGGAGGGGAACGATACAAACACACTCAACTATAAATATGGAGATCTATCGCGTGCCATTGTAATAATGCAAGCCATTAACATTTTACGTTTTTCTTTTTGATAAAATTAAACTGTACGAAACTTGGATTGTGTGCGTCGATGTTCATGATTTCCATAAAAAACAACAGCAACAACAATGGAATTCTAAAGAAAACCCTAACCACCACAAAAATTAATTTGGTTGTCAAAGTTCAATACTAACGCCATATTTTGTGAGGCGAAACAAATTATTCTCAACAAAAGCATAATCTTGTGGGCCTAATTCGAAAATAGATTTTTAGAGGCGAGAAATTAATTTTACCCTCAGTCATATGGCTACAGAGGGTATATATCGTTTGATACGAACAAAAGGTGTCTCATCAAAATAAAGGTTTTAGACCCTGGGTCTCGTTGGATCAAATCCGTTTCTGGTCATATATAATCGATCTAGAGGTGTCTGTCCGTCTGTCTCGAAATTTCGAAGGGAGTATCCGATTTGATCCAATCTTGGTGCATCGTAACATTATGGTCAAGCTTAAATCGAATTCGGAGATGGGCAACATCGCTACACTCCTTTCGGTACCACCCCCATAAAGGTCAATATATTCATAGAAAATACTTTACATCATGGAACAAGGAACATCCAATTTTGTTCAAACTTCGGAAATAACAATATTTGTATTAGGGCTAGATCAGGTGCGAATATGGATAATGTCAGCCCACACCATCAAGTATCTTCTTATAAAAAATGAAATTTTTTTCCTGAAATTTTAGACATTTCTAAAAACACAAGATCGGGTGTGAAGATGGAATTTATCGGTCCATTCCTTCTGGTACATCCCCCACAAATGGTCAAAATTTTGAATATCCATGAAGCTCATAAAACGCGAAATTAACATCCGATTTCATTCAGTCTTGGTACATCTTAATATTTCATAAACACAAGATCTGGTATGAAGAGGGATTACGTCGGACCATGCCTTCTGGTACCTCTCCCACAAAGGGTCAACGTTTTGAATAACCAAAACGATTATAAATTCCGAATAAGCATCCGGTTCTCTTCATATTTCACAAATCACATTATTTCTACTACACAATATCTGGTGTGAAGATGTGGCATATCGGTCCACTTCTTCTGGTACCTCCCCCCAAAGGGTCAACATTTTGAATACTCGTGAAGCTTATAGAACGTGAAATTACATCCGATTCCATTCAGACTTTGTAATCTCAAATATTTCCATTAACACAAGATCTGTTTATTAAGATGGTAGATACCGTATCATTTCTTCTGGTACCTTCCCACCACGGGGTCCAAATGTTGAATAATCATACCTCTTATAAAATGTGAAATAAGCAATAGATTTTCTTCCAATTTAGCACATCTCAATATTTCTAGTAACGCAAATCTGGTGTGAAGATGGGATATCCGGTCCAATCCTTTTGGTGCTTCCCCACAATGGGTCAACACTTTGAATAGCCATGAAGCTCATAAAACGAGAAACCAGCATCCGATTATTTCAAATTTGGCACATCTCAATATTTCTATTAACACTAGATTAGGTGTGAAGGTAGAATATGTCGGGACTCATCCTTCTTATACCTCGCCCCCAACGGGTTCATAATTTTGAATAATTATATATCTCATAAAATGCGAAATCAGATTCTCTTCGAATTTCACACATCCCAATATTTTATATCCTACGCCACATAGTGGTAGGGGTATTATGTCTTCGTGCATTTATTTGTATCATGGAGAAGGAAGCGAGATAGACCCATAGTTACTTTTGAGGATCTCCAAAGAATCACTTTCTGAGTCGATTTTTGCATGTCAGTCTATTGGTCCGTCCGTTCGTCTGTCCATGTATTTTTGAGAACCAAATGCAGTCGCATTTATTATCCATTTGAGATGAAATTTTCCACACAATATTTGTTTGGGCCCAAGGACAAATCCTATTGAGATTGGCGAGAATCGGTACAAATTAGATATAGCTCCCACAATATTTCCAACCGATTTCAGGTTACTTGTGGACCAAATACCCAATATCTGTCCAAATGGCCTGAATTTTTGCACATCCGACTGAATCCAGTCTAGAAGAAAGTACAACAATTTTTTGGAAATTGATTCAGCTAGAGCTGTAGCTCCCATAT